AAATCAACCCCGCTTGCATAGTGTACCTTTAAGACCTGAAACTCTTTGTATTTAATTTTCTTTTATTGGAAACGAGTTTTATACGAAAGAGAAAACAGGCAGTCATCTAAATACAAGTAAGAAATGTAAAAGTTCTTACTTTGAGTGAACATAAAACCATGAGAGCATGGTAACGGTTCATTTAGGAATATAGTGGAGATCTAAAGGTCCAACGATTTGAGTATAACTAAAGTTTTGTCACAATATATAGAAAGTCCTCTTTTTGTTTGTTATGGTAACCAAAAAGATGTAAAACCAGAGGAATATAGAGTAAAGGGGCCTCATGCCGCTGGAGATTTGCCAATTAAGACCAACATCAAAGGTAATTAGCCAAAGTGTAGACAAAAGTTGGCATTTCCCTTTGAGAATAACATAAGTCATTATGTAAAGAATAGGAAGGCAGAGGGTTTGTGTGTGTGTGTGTGTGTGTGTGTGTGTGTACAGTACGTCTCATCCATCTGTGTGTGGGTCTGCACCGGAACAAATCAATGGGTCCTGACATTATAACAAACAGCGGAGGCCTCACACACACCTTCCTGCCGTCTGGAGCGGGGAAACAATGGAATTGCTCTGTGGTTTCCATCTGGGGCTCGGCTCAATGGGAAGGCGGCTAACACAATGAGGAGCTGATAAAAAGTGTCAGTCACCGATGTAAGCCCGAGATGATGCTACCGAGGAGCAGTCAATTACATAGTTCTATTACAACTCCATAAAGGTCCCAGCTGTCTTTCTCTGCATCGTTATCGGCTAAATTAGCCATCCTACAGTTATTCATGGACGCCCACGGACTATTTTTACCCGCTGATGGTGACTGTTTGGAAATAAGACTGTGTGCCATGGTGAAGTTTTGCTTTGAATGGAGGAAGAAATCCTTTTCACTCAGTGGAGAGGATGGTTTTTAATTCTGGTCACGAAGCGCTGCTCCGGTACTGTTTAAACATGCAAAATATATATATATATATATATATATATATATATATATATACTGTATATAAAAAAAATCACAAGCAAGACAGAAAGAATGTGAATTCCTTCAGCTAAAACCATTTGCTTCCAGCTAACTGTTGGATTACATCAAAATGGTGATTGACAGTAAGTCAACAGTAAGTCATGTGCAACAGGTAGTTGAAGTTATGGTGTTTTTTGTTATATTAAGCCTCGGCCTTGGTAAAGTTAACACTTTTTCTAATGCTAACCTTTGCTAATGACCTTGTATTATAAAAATATCGGTCTCAGCTGTCTTGTTTAGCTGTACGGTTCTGAAAACCAAACTGTAACTGTTGATAGTTATCACAAACCTTGGTATCAAAGTGGATGCTGATCTTAAATTGGTTCTTTCAGTTAAGGCAGTTGGCTAAAATAAAGCCTGTTCTCTCCATAGATCTTTTAGAGACAGTAATCCATGCCTTTATCACTACCCAGCTGGATTATTATAACACACTTTATTTGGGGGTTAGTGCCTCTAACATTGCTCAACTCCAGAGAAAGCAAAACGCTGCAGCACGTCTTTTAGTAGATTTTTCTGATATTTTTACTTTACTTTACTACTTATTTTTATAGCGACTTTTTACTTCTACTCCTTACATTTTTACACAAATATCTGTACTTTCTACTCCTTACATTTTAAAAAA